ATCCTGGACTGATCATATCTTTCATATCAGTCAAGTTTTGCTTACATTAAGAGGAGCTGGATTAACGATAAACCTGAAGAAATGCGACTTTGGCAGATGCCACGTGAAGTTTCTAGGACACATTATAGGTTCCGGAAAACATACTCCAGATCCTGAGAAAGTGGAAGCGATTCATAGTATAGCCAGACCATCTACCAAAAATGAGGTCCGAAGTCTGTTAGGACTAGCATCATATTATAGAGATTATATACCCAATTTCTCCGAAAAAGTGCTGCCTTTAACAAATTTAACAAAGAAAAGCGTTCCAACGAATATTCCATGGGATGATATATCAGAGCAATCCTTCCAACAGCTCAAGCGTGAACTGGTAAAAATGCCCTCTTTACATACACCTAATTTAGATAAACCATTCCAATTATACACTGACGCCTCAGCGACAGCTATAGGAGCTTGCTTAGCTCAGACCGCAGATGATGGCAAAGAAATGCCGATCGCCTTTTTCAGCAAAAAATTAACCCCTTGTCAAGCCAGGTGGTCCACAATAGAAAGAGAGGCATTTTGTGTTTTGGAGGCATTAAAGAAGTATGACACGTGGATTTTTGGCGCACAAGTACAAGTCATATCGGATCATAACCCTCTGAGTTTTCTTACAAGCAGCGTGCCTCATGGTGCTAAGCTTTCAAGATGGGCTTTGGCACTGCAGAGGTACAATATGACTCTCACATATCGTCGTGGTTCTTGCCATGGAAATGCCGACGCGTTGTCTAGGATAGCAATGACAAAGTAAATGTTGGTTTATGTAGTAGGTTCATAATTTACGTGCATAGATTTATATCATTGTTATAAGCTTTATATATTAGTTCATATTTTACATAGTTATTAATATATTAGTAGTTCATTGTATCATTTGTAATTGAATTAAAACATCCATTTTGGGAGCTACATATTTAAGAGCTCCTCTGCCTGCGTGATTTGTGTTTGTTTTTCCCATTTTGCTTTGTTTTTTTTTATATCTTTGGCAGGTTGTGAAGCAGCATTGTCGCTAAGGCGACGAATGTGCTTCCTTTGAAGGGACGTGTGAAGATTGAAAGCGAACTGAAAACGATACTTACTATGAAGAGAGGAAGGGGGAAGAAGGAGAAGGGAGAGAGGAGGGATAAAGGTTGGTCGTTTTTAGAAGAAGCGGGACCTTTATCGAGGACTGACATGTTACTTTTCTTTGGGATAAATACTCTCGTTATATATGTGTTTAGTATAGTTGTGTAAATAATGTGCTGCATAACTTTCAATAAGTTAATTAAGCAGCTGAAGATCTTCGTTTAATTTGGATGATGTGTTTAATTATATATATACACACCGTAAGATATCCGGCCACGAGTGGGAAAGAAGAGATTTTCACTGCGGCTAACAAAAGGAGAATAATGAAAAATCCAAATGCTTATAAAATTTTCCATATAAGTATTTCCATATAAGCATTTCCAAAGCTTATAAAATTTTCCATACAGTCAAATTATGAATAATTGATAATATTATAAGTATTTTAAATTTCAAGAAGTAAAGCCGATTATACCACAGAAAACTTTCATATTTTTAAAGATCCAAATTAAACTGAAAATATTTTAATAAAGCTGCAAAAAATTGCAAAGTTTTACCCAAAAATGACACTCAACTTTTATTGATGCCAGTAATGCAAAATTAATTATGGTAAGAGGTACATAATATGGCTAAAGTAGTAATAAGTGTTTTAGAAAATCCTTAAACTTATAAGTACCTGAAAATGTTAATGAATGACTTACCCTAGAAAGTATTTAACATCTAGTTAGGTTGGTAAATAAGCTTTATACTGAGCTTGGAAAAAACAACAAAAAGAAAATCATTTTAAAAACATCTATATCGAAAGTTTAATAAAAAATCTAAATAGACAGTTCTCTAACTATTGTTTCACCGAGTTCGTCTTTTCCACATCAGCCAATGTGGGGATTTGTTTTAAGACTATGTCAACCTTCATCAATCAAAAGGTACCTTGTGATAGAATCAAGTCTTGATATTGACTTGATATAAGATGGAACAAAGTACGTGCCCACGAAGCGGGCATCTCACTTCTTCATCTAACTAACTTTTGCCCTAAGGCAACAGTGAATATGGTCTTTGGATAAAGGAAAATTCCACAGAATAATTTTCTGTGGTCGTCATCGGTGGGCTCTCCGCATCTATGTCTTTGCAGTTGGGAGAAGGGATTGGAGTAGTGAAACTAGCTCCGCGTCTTTTAGGAGTTCCTGCTGCTCTCTAACGATGTGTAGGAATCTGGTTGCTGAACTGGCAGCACTCCGGTTTTGTCTTTTCTTGGGTGCGGTCTTGCTCCTAGGCCTGGCACCGCAGCCTGCGAAACAGGCCGGGTGTTCTCCGTGACAGTTAACGCAGGTTGGAGGCTCGTTGTGGGGCTTTGTGCAGAGATACGTGAAATGTGCGCCAGCACATTTCATGCAGGCCGGCTTTGCTGTGCAGCTACTCTGGGTGTGGTCAAAGCCCTGACATCTGAAGCATTTTATTTCGTAGCGGCCGCTACGAAATCTCTCTACCCGGTCAGGTGTGTCTAGTAGCAGGTCAATTTTGAGGATTTCCCGGTGTTCTTGGACGTCGATCAGGAACACTAAGTAGAGGGGGAGGAGCTTAAGTTCCTGGCCCCGCCTCTTCTTCATCTGTTCAATCTTGAATGGCCGTAGATCAATATCTGAAAGGGTTTTTTCGAGACGGTGAATCTCGATATCGGCCTTTAGTCCTCGGATGAGAACTTTTAACTCTCTGCTGGTGGACTGCAGAGTTTCTATCTGTTCTGTAATTTCAACTGGAGTCTCGACTGGTGCTTCAGAAATGATCGGGTCCGGGGTGATTTCTTCCGTCTCTGGAACAGTAGCTATCTTTTTCTCCGGGAGGTGGGGTTCACTTTCTGGCTCGGAATCAGAGTTTTTCAGTATTGCCGGGTTGACACCACTCTTCTTCCTTTTCTTATTCTGCTTTTCTGCCGGTGTGGTTATCTCTGGGGTGTTGTTCGAGATCGGCTTTTCTATCTCTGTAGGAGTAATAACTGGAGTTGGACTGGTAGGAGATGAGGTATTTTGGGAGTCCTTAGAAGCCTTTATGATCCGCAATTCCTCTACATGAAATTTACATCTGTATAAGCTTTCAAGGCACGTTTTATCAGTTGATTCGCACTCAAGTGCTATTGCAATATTTGTGTGGGGGCGGAGTTATTCGACCATGCCAACCGTCATCTGTCAAAAGGTACCTCGTGATTGAATCGAGTTAGCATGTCTTATATACCAGTGAATTGATGTTTAATTTTCATAGTTGTAGTTACGCCACATTACTCCCCCACCAGAATTTTATCTAGGATAGAATTCTATACCAGTAGTTGCTGTACTTGTGAAAGTCCGGAGCTTTGTTCAGTGATGAATGTGAGAGGTGTATTAACATCACGTTATAGCGTTCGTTGTTGCATTTTTACAGTCACAAGTAGAAAGTCAACTATTCATTGTGGATTATCCATCGAAGTAGGCGTTACCATCAAGAGATTGCGAAGTGGGCGTTACTCGCGTGATCAAATCACGTCTGGGTCACCAATGTGGGGACGGAGTTATTCGACCATGCCAACCGTCATCTATCAAAAGGTACCTCGTGATTGAATCGAGTTAGCATGTCTTATATACCAGAGAATTGATGTTTAATTTTCATAGTGCCACACGCCACATTACGCCACATTTGCATCAAGGCCAATTGCGTTTCTTTCGGTTCGCTGGTATTCTTAATCGAAGCTGTCTGGTTGTATTTTCAACTTCACGGTGAGATAATCCTTCGCAGCTTTCCTAAAAGCAATGATATCAACACTAATGTCAGGAACGGGGTTGGGTCGGAAAACCTTCCGAATCTGTGCGAAGCCATCGTAGCGCAGAGCTTGGTTATAACACAACCTTACTCCTTGGAGTCTGGAACGAGAATGGTGGTGAGGATCAAGTTAAAATGTCTTATATACTAGTGAATTGGTATTTAAAATTTATAGTGGCAGTTACGTCATATGGTACACAGACATTCTTCCAGTCAGCCCGATATATGAATCATGAACAGAGAAAAGGGAAGTAACATTAGTAACACTAGGAAAAAATTATGTCAAAAGAGATAAATTTCTACCACTGACAAAAAATCCCAATATGTTGTTACTCATTTACAGAGTCACCTAATTTATTATGAATACACAAATCTCATCTATCAGTTTAGAATGCAAGGTATACATTCCATACGATAGTTACTATGAAATTTAGAAATATATAAAAACGAATTGTAGATCTAAAAATATGCACATAACTTTAATCACAATATTTTCTTAATACAGCAGTCCTAAATACTGCAACCTTCATCTTTTAATATTTCTTATTATAAACTATGCATAATATGCATTTTAGCAACCTTCCTAAATTTTAATTACAAACAGCACAAAACGCAAGCATTTATTTCCATATAAGTTCATTTATTATTATACGTAAATAACAGACTATATAATTTCCTAAAAATTATGAAGGTCATTTTCGCTATATTACCGCTGATCTTACCAATTTTTTCACACAATAACAGCTCAATTAATGTTAAACATATGAAAAAAAATTTCTAGTAGAGGGGAGTTATAAATACATTACTAAATTCATTTTTAGAGAAATATAACATGTGTAGGATGCTTACGTTTTATTGAATGTAATATATTATCATTTACGCCAGGGCTGTCCAACTGGCGGCTCGCGGGCCGCATGTGGCCCGCCAACACACATTGTGCGGCCCGCCAACTTTTTATTCAGGCTTATCGGCCTCAGTTTTCTCATTGAAAAGTAAGCAAATTGTTTTATAATCCTTCTGTTCCATTGTTTTATAATTAATAATTCAACTATTAATTGCTATTGTATAAGAGGTAAGAGGGTATTGTTCAACTTTTTCAAACTGCGGCCCGCCAGGTGATCAGTGACCGGAATTCTGGCCCGTGGGGTCCTTGCAGTTGGACAGCCCTGATTTACGCAATCTTTTCAAAATTAATTTGTTAATAAAATAAATGCAATAAATATGTAAGAGTAACATATTAATAATATTTATTTACCTCAACAGATTATATATCTTTTCCACATTGTAAAATTTCAGCACATGTATTATTAAACAAGCCATAACAATATGTATACGATCACTGGCAATGTCGCGATTTTACAGATTGAAAAGTCGCCAATTGAGTCGACAATGATTGAAAAAGGTAACCCATCTTTTGTTGCCTCCGAAAATTGAACTTTCCCTTCTTCTTGCGGGTTCCTTATATCTGTGAAAAACATGAATATAGAAAGCTATAAGCTGAAAAAAAGATCTCCTCTAGAATAGTAGATGAGTTATGAAATCCGTTATCCGAATGAAAAAAAATGTGCTCAAAGGAGGCGGTACTACTTGGTGCTGTCTCTCCTATTGTGCTAACCTTGGCCTTATCATTGTTGATATCAACTTATCATTGTTTGCCAAGGTGCTAACCAATGTGCTCAAATTTGCACCTTGCTTTAATATGTTAGAATTATATTATATACAAGAATCAAGGTAAATCATATTTTATTAGGGAGAAGGTGAGGTTTATACATCTTGTTACGTTTTTGGTTGAACAACAACTAACTAGCGCGGGATAACAAAAGAATGAGTTGAGTCGTTGCAAGGCGCATTTACACTGAAGATAAAATACATGGCAATTCTCTGGCCCTTAAATAAAAGGTTAATTATGAATTATTTAAATTTAAGAGTCAAACGAAAAATTAGAGATTTAATCTGATAACTGGTCTTTTTTCCCGAGTTGATCTCCTTAACTGCATTGTATTTCTCTGGGTTACAGGACTAGATACTGGAAGAGAGGAGGGTATGGTGGATGTAGAGCTGGATACTGGAAGAGAGGAGGGTATGGTGGATGTAGAGCTGGATACTGGAAGAGAGGAGGGTATGGTGGGTGTAGAGCTGGATACTGGACGAGAGGAGGGTATGGTGGATGTAGAACTGGATACTGGAAGAGAAAAGTGTACTGTCCTGGGCCTAGAAAATTTTAAAGAAGGAGTTATTGATTTTTCAACTTGACAAGCTCTTAATTGGTTAAAGTGACGCTTGATCACATAACCGTCGTCTAATTCAATGAGATAGTGAAGTCGTCCAAGTTTTTCAACAACAGTTCCATACTTCCATTTAGCAGATGATGTATAGTTGCGAGACTGTACTCTTTCTCCTAACTTGAAATTTTTGTTAAATTCTGGCTGCAAGGCATTATTTTTTTGTCCTTTAGTTGGTTTGATTAAGTCGAATTCACATCTTAAGTTTCTACCAAATAACATTTCTGACGGAGTTTTTCCATTGTTAAGTGGTGTTATTCTGTATCGGAAAAGTAGTTTGCATAATTTACTATGGAGGGAACCTGGATGATACTTCATGCATTTTAATTTCGTTTTTAATATCTGGACATAGCGCTCTGCTTGGCCATTTGTAGCTGGATAGCCTGGAGCAATAAGACGCTGTTTAATACCATTTGACTTACAAAAATGTTGGAATTCAGCTGACTTAAAAATTGCGGCATTATCAGAAACTAAAATTTCAGGCAATCCATGACGACTAAAAATTTCTTCTAAATAATAAATTGTGTTTGATGATGTAGGAGATGTCTTCATAGCAAAAATTTCAGGCCATTTTGAAAGTGAATCCACAACAATTAAAAATTGATGCTCCATGAAGGGTCCGGCATAGTCGATGTGCACGCGTTGCCAATTTTTCTCAGGTGTTTCCCATATGTGAAGAGGTGCTTTCGCTGGATTTTTTCTTACATCACAGCATTCACGGCAACTTTTAACCATGTTTTCAATATCGGTGTCAATGTTTTTCCAATAGCAGTAGTTTCGAGATAGAGCTTTCATTTTCACAATTCCTATGTGTGTAGAATGTAGTGGCTTGAGCATTTCAGGTTGAAGAGATTTGGGAATGATAACTCGATTTCCTCTAAATAAGATTCCATCTTGAATGGTTATACTGGGATCAAACTTGTTTCCAATAACAATATCGTATTTTATTTTTCTAAGATCAGGATCAGCTCTGTTTCTGTTTGGATTTGTTTTGCTGTAATTGTTTCAGTTGAAATGTAATTTATGATAAATTGCTGGAGTGCTTGTGATTCATCAATACAGTTGACGTAATTAACTGGTAGTGGAAGAGGATTTCTTGAAAAGTAATCAGCATTTGTATGCTTTTCAGATTTTCTATGTATAATTGTGTAATCGAAACTCGAAGGAAATTGAGCATATCGAAGAATTCTTGAAGCAGTCATAACTAGAGCCCGGAAGTTCAGGCAAAATGCCATAAATGCCCTTTTCTGCCTTTTTTAAACGTTTTCTTCTGAAAATGCCTTTTTCTTTCCTTTTGTTCATAAATGCCTATTTCTGTCTAATTTAAAATTTTTCTACAAAGCTTTTCGTACTTTTGACCGAGCATAAATTTTGAAGTACAGAAATGGTTGACTGTCATCCGACGTATTGTAATGCATTTATAGAGATTAGGACTTTATTCCTTTTGGGACAACTCCCTCCCTCTGAGGCAGTGGTCACCCCTCGCACTGTACAATGACTATTCATCTGAGCTGATAGGGTACTCGTGCTTGAGTGAACAAGGCAGGTGAAAGACATTTTTCTGTCCATGAGATTGACAGTGTTGTTTGAATAGAGAATAGAATACAGAATACACTTAAAGCTGGAAATGCCTTAAAAGTTTTATTTCCTAATATGATCCATCTAACGTGCCTTGCTCATGCATTGCACAGGATAGCAGAGGAAGTAAGAGGTCTCTATCCTGAGGTAGACTCGCTTGTTTCTAGTGTGAAAAAAGTATTTGTGAAAGCCCCTTCAAGTGTTCAAAGAAATTGCACCAGACATTCAATTACCTCCTAAACCGATCCTTACGAGATGGGGAACATGGATTTCAGCAGTCTCACACTACTGCACAAATTTTGAGGAAGTTACTCGAGTCCTTACCAGCTTTTCGAATGAAGAGGCAATATCCATAAGAAAAAGTAAAAGTCTGCATAGCAGTTCTAAAATAAAAAATGAACTGACTTTTATTTCAACTTAGTTTGGGAAGCTCCCTGGAGCTATTGAACACATGGAAAAAAGTAATATGTCTTTGTCCGAGTCACTAAAGATTTTCGACAGTACTATTGAAAAACTAATATCTGTGCCTGAACCAGGTGGTGACAGAATAAGGAAGAAATGTGAAAACGTCATCTCTGTAAATACAGACTTTGAATGCATCAAGGACATTGCAAAAGTACTTTCTGGTGATACTACAGTTGAACTTACCATATCTCCTACCATGGCAAGTTGTTTTAGGTACGGGCCCATAACCTCTGTCAAAGTAGAAAGATCCTTCTCTTTGTTTAAAACTATATTGACTGACAGGAGACAAAACTTCTCTTTTGAAATTTCGAAAAAGCATCTAGTTGTGATGTGCAACAACCAATCATCAGAATAAATTTGCATACAATATTATTGTAAATATGAGTTTTCACTTTTTATTTCACACTTACGAAGTTGAGGGTTTTTTTGTGCAATTATGTCCACTTCTTTTGTACTATTGCTACGACAGTCGAGTAAAATGAATATGTAGGTATATCGGATACTTCTAGCAACTTTTTTAATACCTTGGATACCTATATGGGCTTTTAGGCATTACCAACTAACATTTTGCTCCAATTTTAAGTGCCTTTTTTAAGTGCCTATTTCAAGCTTTTTGAATGCCTTTTTGCCTGCCTATTTTTGCATTTTTTATTGCCTGAAATTCCGGGCTTTAGTCATAACTGGGAGGCTTTTCTCTGGATGGAATATAGCGCAAATGGCTCTGTTATCAAGAATCAAGGTAAATTTTCTGCCAAAAATATAATCGTAAAATTTTTTGCAAGCCCAAACCACAGCTGTAGCTTCACGATCCAATTGACTGTAATTTTGCTCTGCAACTGTGAGACTTCTGGAAGCAAAAGCGATAGGACGCTCTATACCGTTTGGCACAGATTCACATTCTGCAGTCCATCGGAATCGTGCATTTTTGCATAAGAGTTTGTTAGTGGATGAAGTAGGCTGGAAGCATCTGGAATGAACTTAGAATAATACATGAAAAGTCCAATGAATTTACGAATATCATCAACGGAGTTTGGTCGAGATGTTTCGAATATAGCTTGAATTTTATCAGGTGATTTGTGCAGTCCAGCAGAACTGATAACATGTCTCAAATACTGAACTTTTTCCTCGAAAAATCTACATTTGTTAAGGTTAAGATGCAAATTATGATCCCGTAACTTTTCTAATACCTTAATTAAACGTTGCTGGCAATCTTGTTTATCTTTTCCTCGGAGGATAATATCATCAAAGTAGGCAATAGTTCCATCCAAATCTTGGACAAACTGATCAATAAATTTATGGAATTCATTTGGTGCAGTTTTTATTCCGAAAAATAATCTTTTTGCTAAGTATGTACCTCTATGAGTAGAAAGAGTCTGATATTTTGCACTTTCTTCATCGACTTTCAAATGTAAATATACTTTGTGGATATCGAGCGTACAGAAATATTTCCCATCACGTAATTTATTGAAAATGTCCTCAATTCTAGGAATTGGGTGTCTGGCATTTTGAAGCTGATTATTGATTGTAACTTTAAAATCTGCGCAAATACGAACTGTGCCATCATGCTTTGGGACAACTACTATAGTCTGTTCAACGAGAACTGAGAGTGGAAGTAAACGAAAGGGTTGCTGTTTGATCGCCAACGTTTGCCACTTTAACGGTTTCTTCGCTGAATGGGAGATTTCATTTGAATCGACAGAGCTTTCGCTTTTATAGAAAAACAAAAACGATGTTTGGTTTTTGATACCTTAAAATTAGATAAGAAAGTGCAAAATTAAAATATTTTCATGAAAATACGTTTCTAAGTGTTTCAGTAAACACATAATTTTATTTTAAGAATAGTTTTAATATATATTTATATTTCTTTAAGTTTTGATTAAATTAGTTTTAATATATTTTGCATAAATATCTATGAAAAACATAACTTTTATAATTCCATCGTAAAAGTCGTATAGAATTGAAAGTTATGTTAAAAAAATACTCTTTTATTTTCATAATTACAATTTTTTTTTAAAATTTATTAGAAGTTAAATAATATTTAAAATAGTTTTATGTTTCACCGATTGATTTAAAAATATATTAGAAGGAACTGCATTTATTTGTATTTTTAAATTGTTAATTATCTTTATTTTTCTAAGGGAAGTATTACGAAAATAATTACACTAAAAGAAACTTGGAACTTTTTTGTATGTCTCACAAAATCTTTTGTTAAGAAAAATATACCCACTTAACCTATAAAAAAAAGCAGTTTGTAAACCTCGAATTCAATAGGTTTTTGAAAAAATAGAATCAAGTGTCAAAATTATTTAATTTTACGTAACATTTGAATTTCTGTAATTAATTAACAACTGTACCGAAAACGAAAATAATTAAATTAAACTACTCAGAAAAGAACACAATTTTAAGAATTACTGTATTAATCGATCAATTAATCATGGATAATAACGAATAATTATATCATTAAAAAGTAAAAATGAAACTAGGTACTTATCTCAGGATTCACTCTCAGAACTTGTAGAATCCTCGTCGTTTGAATTGATATTTATTACTACAGAATTAACAGTGTTTTCGATGGTTTCGTCCAAATCCCACATCTCTTTTTTGATTTTCTGAGTGTGCTCTACGCAATTTTTCCACTTTTCAACTCCAATTTCATTTAAACTTTTCATGCACAATCCCTCTACTTCCGATAACTTGAAAGTTTTGTTTTCTTTGGCCACTGAACCTTTCATTTGGGCCCAAATCAGCTCAATTGGATTTAATTCAGCGTGATAGGGGGGAAGCCTTAAAATCATTATATTATTACGTCTAGCAAGTTCATCCACCGCGAATTTGTCATATCTGCGCTTATGAGCTTTCACTATATCCAGTAGTTCTGTTTTTAGCATACCTTCTTCATCACTAACAATGTTTTTAGATTTTAGCCAATCTTTAATTACTTGCTTAGTCGGTGATGCGTTAGGAATTTTTTCTTCTTTACGAGAGTGATATGGTGCATTGTCCATCACAACGACAAAGTTCGGCTCTAAAAAAGGGTAGAATTTTCTCGAACCATTCTTCGAAACACGCTGCATTCATATCCTTATGGTAATCCTTGTTTTTGTTTGATTTAAAAAGTAGAAGTCCTTCCTTTAAAAAGCCCGCGTCGCTACCAATGTGAGTAATAATAAGTCTCTCACCTTTGCCAGAAAGCGATTTTAATCCTGTAGAAAGACCAGATAAAAATGCCTGTTTTGACGAGATAATGGAAGTATCATTCCACACTTTGTCTTGCGTGTGTCCAGCATTCAACCATGTCTCATCCATGTAATAAATTTTTCTTCCTTCTTGTCTGATTTTGTTAATTGTTCTTAAATATCTTCGCCTCCACAAAATTATTTTTTCTTTTTCAATGAGTGAGCTGTTCCGTCCTCGTTTTTGATGTTTGAAGCCTAATTTTTTTAACAGGGAATAAAATGTCGTTCTTTTAAAGTTTGGTAAATCAGAATCATCGTTCACAGCTTTGAGAACTTTGCTTATTGTCAGAATTTCGTTACGGCGGAAAAAATCATGAACTTTTCTTCTTACAGCATTTTTGTCGAAATCGTCAATGTCATCCAAAAAAGTTTTACGAGGTTTAGTCCTCTTCGGGGAATGTAATATACCATCCTTTTTATATTCTTTGATAATTCTGAAAACAGAAGCTGTGCTAACTCCCGCTGCAGAAGCCGCATGGTCAACCACATCAATGATTGGAACATCTGGTTTTGAATGCACTTCTGTTTTATAAATGTTCAATATTATTTCTTTCTCAGCTTTACTTATGTAAGATTTCTTCTGTCGTTTTTTAGGAGGACTTAAATCCATCGCTTTATTTTCCATATTACTCATGAAACGCCTGCAAAAAGACACCACGGCGATACAAACAACCCTCTAAAAATAAGAGTTTTTGCTTGTCTGATAGGCGCTATTTGTCATTATTCCGGCGCCAAGTAGACAGCTGTATTGCGCCAAATAGCACGCCGCTTTGTTTACTTTCGCTATCAGTTCTCGTTGAACAGACTATAGGGGTGTACCCCATTCTGATACGTCTATTTTTTCTATTACACCTTCAGCTTCTAATTTATCTAATTGTTGTTCTACTTTTGATTTTAAAGCATACGGTACAGTACGTGATTTAATAAAAATTGGTTTTGCATCTCGAATTAGCTTTAGTGCACAAGTATAATCAGAAATGCAACCAATTTTAGGTTCAAACACATCAGAAAAAGAATCAATAATTTTCTGTTTAGAAAAATCAGTACAAGAAATGCTGGGTTTAATACTTGTATTTTGTGCAGAAATATTCTAATCCAATCACGCCCTAATATAGAATTTTTCTTTATCGAAACAACATACAAAGCTAGATTTATTTTGATTTGATACTTTAATCTGAGCAACACCAAGAGGCTTAAAAATTTGTCCCGTATAACTTCTAAAAGATACATTCGTTTTTTTTTATCGGAACATTCAGACATAATTTTTTGAATTCGTCATTATTTACTATGCTAACCTTACTTCCGGAATCGCATTCGAAGCGATGTTCAATGCTATTCAATTTAACTGGAACATACATTTTGTCATCATGATTGAAATCGTTCAAAAATACATCATAAATTTGATTTACGTTAGTACTCAGTTCATTAGAATCATCCGTTATTTGATTTAAATTTCGATTTCTAAATCTATTTCTGAACTGTTTTGATATACACACGTTAGCTAAATGATCTCGTTTCATGCAAGATTTACATCGTAATTTATTTTTAAGAAACCAATCTTGAGTTTTATGATTTTTTTTCCACAATGTAAACATAATCCCTTTAATCCAAGTTCTTTTAAGTTAATACTGCTTTTATTTTTCATAGGCGATTTTGATCTACTTCTGTTTTGAGGTTTACTTTCGTTTTCGGAATTTCGAAAATTACTGTTGAATTTTTTTTTTTATATATAGCCACTTGATATTTTGTTAATGAAATTAGGATACTTACTCTTATAAACTTCTTTATTTTCGATTTTAGCAGCTTCAATTGCTAAGGCAATTTCAATAGTTTTATCAAATGTAGCATCACCTTGTTGCAATAATTTTTCACGAATATCGGCATCAGCTAAACCTCTGATAAATTGTGATCGTAATAATAAGTTTAACATAGATTTAGAACAGTTATTAGAATTACATTCAGATTTGAATTCAGCATTTTTTGTTAAATCTTTCAATGAAGAAACGAAAGTAGAAATCGACTCACCTTGATGTTGATGTCTAGAAAAAAATTTATGTTGTTCGGTAAGAACATTCGGTTTCGGTGATAGATGCTTCTTTAAAAGCAATAGCAGTTCTTGAAATGTTTTTGTCGACGGAATATCCGGTGCAGTAAGACTCGAAAGCAGCTGGTATTGTCGTGAGCCAAGACAGTTAATTAATACGAGTACCTTTAATTCTTCTGTTTCTGGATCATCTGCTGACAGTCCTTTTAATTTGAAATAATTTTCAAGTCGTTGAGAATAACAATCAAAGGATTCGACAGCGGCATCAAAAGGATCGAATGATAAGTTTTGAGTAGCGATGACATCTTTTGCGCTTCGTTTCGATTCTGGTGTTGATTTTACTGATTGAACAAATTCTTGAAGAGTTGTAATTAATTGATTGAGTTCCGTCATTATTATTCTTTTATCCTCGTCGCCAAATTATTATATACTAGAATCAAGGTAAAACATATTTTATTAGGGAGAAGGTGAGGTTTACATCTTGTTACGTTTAAAGCTGAACAACAACTGACTAGCGCGGGATAACAAAAGGTGGAGTTGAGTTGAGTCGCTGCAAGGCGCATTTACACTGAAGATAAAATACATGACAATTCTCTGGCGCTTAAATAAAAGGTTAATTATGAATTATTAAAATTTAAGAGTCAATAACGAATAATTAGAGATTTAATCTGGTGACTGGTCTTTTTTCCCGAGTTGATCTCCTTAACTGCATTGGATTTCTCTGGGTTACAGGACTAGAAACTGGAAGAGAGGAGGGTATGGTGGGTGTAGAGCNTGTAACAAGAGTTTTTCACAAAGAGGTCTGCTGACTAGACACAATCGTGTTCACACTGGTGAGAAACCTTTTTTCTGTAGTATGTGTAATATGAGTTATTCAGACAGAAGTGAACTGACTAGACACAGTCATGTTCATACTGGTGTGAAGCCTCATTCTTGTAGCATATGCAATAAGAGTTTTTCCTACAGAAGTGACTTGACTAGACACAATCGTGTTCACACTGGTGAGAAGCCTTATTCTTGTAGCATATGTAACAAGAGTTTTTCTCAAAGAGGTCTGCTGACTAGACACAATCGTGTTCACACTGGTGAGAAACCTTTTTTCTGTAGTATGTGTAATATGAGTTTTTCAGACAGAAGTGAACTGACTAGACACAGTCATGTTCATACTGGTGTGAAGCCTCATTCTTGTAGCATATGCAATAAGAGTTTTTCCTACAGAAGTGACTTGACTAGACACAATCGTGTTCACACTGGTGAGAAGCCTTATTCTTGTAGCATATGTAACAAGAGTTTTTCTCAAAGAGGTCAGCTGACTAGACACAATCGTGTTCACACTGGTGAGAAACCTTTTTTCTGTAGTATGTGTAATATGAGTTTTTCAGACAGAAGTGAACTGACTAGACACAGTCATGTTCATACTGGTGTGAAGCCTCATTCTTGTAGCATATGCAATAAGAGTTTTTCCTACAGAAGTGACTTGACTAGACACAATCGTGTTCACACTGGTGAGAAGCCTTATTCTTGTAGTATATGTAACATAAGTTTTTCAAGCACAGGTAATCTGACTTCACATGTTTATGTTCATACTGGTGAGAAGCCTCATTCTTGTAGCATATGTAACAAGAGTTTTTCACAAAGAGGTCTGCTAACTAGACACAATCGTGTTCACACTGGTGAGAAGCCTTATTCTTGTAGTATATGTAATAAGAATTTTTCACACAGTAGTTGTCTGTCTAAGCATTTTCATGTTCATACTAGTAAGAGTCCTAATTCTTGTTGTTAATTCTTTGAGTTTATAAAGGAATTTTGTGCTCACTGTTCTGTTCATACTACTGAGTAAGTTTATTCATATAATGTTTAAATGATAGTGTAATCTGTTTACAAGTGTAATATTATGTTCATAAAGATAGTACAACCTGATAAATAAACCTGTTCACAATTATTTTTATTTTAGTAAGAAATCTCACTTAATGTAACAAGTTTCATAGTAAAATATTTTAACTGTCTGCAAATTTGGCAACTACTTTTAAGTACAAATTGAAAGTTGTTTGTGGTAAGGTACCAATTTCTTTTAATTTGTAATTCAGTTGGGCAGAGCTGATATTTAATATCATGGGACTTAGAAATGCAAGAAATAGTGATTTACTGATTATCGTCTAAGCGTTAGGCTTGCTCACTTCTAAATTATTAAATCCTTTTTGTTTGAAAGCAAACCATAGTATTCATTTTAAGCCTAATGCCTGCATATTTCACTATTTAAATATATTGTTTACAGGGCTCGAAAAAACTCAGGAATTTTACCCGTCCCCGAGGACGGCATGTCCAACAATGTACCCGTCCCCATTTGAAACTAACCCGTAACTTCTAAATAAATAAAAGCATAATTTTCTCCTATTTATTACAAATATTTATATAAATTGCACAATGAATTAGTAGTTACTAGGATTACATTATACAGTAATAGGAGAAATACTAGGTTACTAATAGTAACTTAGTATTTATTTTATGAAATTATTTAAATGACAAAAGTCAAGTTATCTGGAATGTCAATTTATCCAAGCGTACTGCGTTTTTTTAGATGAATCAAATATGACGTTTGCCAGTTGCACAATCAAGCCAATGATTAACAGAGGTTTCTGCACAGAAATCTGAAAGGGGTTTTGCATTTAGGTAGATTTTCATAATTGCGTTTAACGCTTCTTGTACGGTACGTAATGTGTTTTTTTGTAAATTCATTGCTGAAAAGCCCCTTTCAATTGCTGCAGTACTCCCAGACAGAGAAAACATCAATTCCATCATACACAGTATGTTGTTGTATTTCTTGATTAGAGGGTCATTTTAGAAGTGAGGCGCTAGACTCTTGTAAGATAACAAAAACTGGAAATGTATCACGAGCATTAACGGGAAAATGGCCGTCCGCGCGGACGTCAGATTCGAGAAATTCGTTCTGCGCGGGGAATTTTTAACTGCCGAGGACGGGCGGTTTTTCGAGCCCTGATTGTTTCTGATTCAAATTAGACAATTAAGGGTCATCATAACTTTTGGTAATAAGTAGGATATGACAACCCTCATATTTCCAAGTAAAGGATGCCAATTTTAAATTTATCATGTCAAAGAGCAAGAATGCCATGATCTGGTCATTTTTTATAATTCGAATTAGATTTGGAAATGTTAAATTTTTTAATTTGTTTTCTGATTAAATTCTTTTGGGTCATTCTCACAAAAAGGTGATTTTTTAAGTCCCTTAGTAATAAATATTAGGAAATACAGCAGATTTCTTAATATTCTTCTTCATCATTTTTCGTAAAGTTCCAACTAACAAATCATATGCATTTCTGCTAAATGCATTTAGTATTTCATTCTTATTTTTTTAATAAACATAACTTCAAAATCCCCTCCGTGGACGTCCCTACGTCTATGACACAAAATAATTTTTAATGGCTGTTAAACAATTTAAATGTCATTTTAATGATTTTTGTAGTCTTACCTAGTAAAATGTTTATAGTAACTTTTTATTTAATATTTTTTAAAAAAAAATTTTATAAAATATATGACTAGTAAACTTTGTACATCAAAAATGAAATCTCCCTCCATGGACAATAAATATAGTTCGATAAATATGCAATAAAAAATGCATATGCGAAATCCCTATAAGACAGCTACTGGGAAAGGTAACCATTCCATTTTCTAATGTTAACTATTAGTTGTTTTTGTTCTCTTTGGTGCCATTTTTGGATTGTTGTGTTCAACTGGGGCTTGGCAAAGTTCTCACCGTATACTCCGTGGACATCATAAAGAAGCTAAGAGAAAATTATTTTATTTTTGAAAGATGAATTTTAGATTGCAAAAATAGTATATTTAATAAAAAGAACTGCAGTATTTTTGTAACTTTAAAATAAAAAATCAGTAAAGTTCAAGAACTTGTTTTTGTCTCCTCCGTGGACATAACAAGTTCATGGAGGAGAAGATACAGTCAATGGAAGAGACAATGTGTTAGATAACCATAATACAATTTTAATAATTAAAAAACTATTTTGTTTTAGTTGATATTTTTTTAAATGGAACAAATGTGTTAATTTGTTTATATTTTTAAAGAAAATCAATTAAGTTTAACTTTTTCTTATCGGAGAAGTAAATATTTAAAATTTTTCTAAATAATTTCTGTGATGTTTAAAAAATTTTTTCGCTTCAAATTTTAGGAAAAAAATGGCAAAATGTAAAGAAAGAAAGCAATCAAATGTTCAAATGCAAAAGAGAAGGGAACAGAAAAAACTTAGTATGAGACAAGCTAGACAGAAATTAAAAGAAAACCCTATATTGTTTGAAGAAAGTAAAAATAAAAAAAAGAGTAAGAAACTTTAAAATCTGTATCAGAAAAACATTTAACAGAAAAATCGTGATTAAATGTACTTAAATTTCTAGTAAATTGATAGGGCAAGCCGATTGTGCCCAGGGAAAAAAGAAACAATAACAAGAAGAAACAAAAATGTTATTTGGATGCCAGTATGTTTAACTTGCATAAAAGAGTACCCTCAACAATCAATTTTTATTTCAATAATCTTTACATTTTAATTTATTAATATTCAGTAAGAGTTACTTAAAAATTGTACACCTAGGTTAAAAATGGATATTTCCTTTCATAGCAGCATGATTAATCGGAAGTAGCTCCATCTCTAATAATGAAATATTTTACTATTTACTTATTAATGTTAAACTCATATCAGTTGTACCCAATAATTAATATATTAGTCTTCATTGATATTTTATAACATAAAATGTATCCTCCGTTGACTATTACATCTCCTCCGTGGAGAAGGCAGAATTTAAAATATTTTAAATCTTGTAAAAAATAAAATAGAAAACTTGACCATTATTATAAGGGCATATAAAAAATAAATAAAGGCATTTATGTAATTTTTATCACTTTTTTAATTACTTTAATTCAAGAAAATTTTTTAGTCTATTTATACCTTTTCAGTGAGAATGACTCTTTTATTCTTCTGGAAGGATAAGAAAAAAATTCACATTTCCCCCCACTAATATTGGTAATAATATAAAAAAGAAAAAATAATATTAAAAAGACGTTGAACATTGAACAGACGTTGAACAATAAAATAATAATAAAAAAGAAAATCAAAGCACCCTTTATTAAAAGGGTGCTTTGATTTTCTTTTTTTATTATTATTTTATTTAGAGGAGATCAATGTTTTTTGTAAATAAATAAAGAATTTTAAAGTTTTTCTCTCTGATTCTTTTCTTTTTAATGTGTATAAACTTCAAACCATTAAACATGATTTTTCCATTTTAAAACATGATTTTTTTTTAAACATGGGCATAATTTTAAAATTATTATTTTCAAAGTGTGAGAGAATTTTTTTTTTAATCAACAAGTTAGATTTTGTGACAGAATACTTAAATTTATTAAAAAATGAAAATTAGAAATCAGCTCACATTTTGGTTAAATTATATGAAATACCATTTTAAAAATGAAAATTAAAAATTATCTAAAAAATTAGCCATGCTAAATAAGTTTACTTAAACTTGATAATTTTGTTGCTTTTTCTCTTCATTTTACACTTCATTTTACAATTTAACATAAGAATTGAAATAATTGTGACAACTTATATGCAGATAGAAAATGATTTATTTTATAAAATGCAATTGATGATGTTTTACTCATCAATCTAACATTAGATCTTCGCCATTTGAATAATTAGAACTGCCCCGGAATCCGTTATTATCGCAATTCTTATTTACGTGATTTTAAGTATCAAACGTTGATTTCCGCATTTACCTAATTTAAAAGTTGCACGTTGCGATTTGTATTCACGCAATTTAAAAGTTCAGTATCGCGATTTGCATTTAAGAGTTTATAAAATCAATTCGTAGATATTGTCTCGGTTTAGAAATCCAGTATCGCAATTCGTATGCATGCCAGTTTAAAATCCAATTTTGCGATTTGTATTCCCGAGTTTGCAATATTAAACATCGATTTTCGTATTTATACGGGATTTAAAAGCTACGCATTGCAATTCGAATCATGCAATCTCTATGTCATACATAGCGATTCGCATTCACGCAATCTTAAAATCGAATATCGCAACATTTATTCTCTCTATTTTAAAATTTAATTTATTTATTTATTGAAATTACATACATTTGCTGACTTGTGTGCTCAATATAGGCTTATAAGTCATTGTCAAGTAGAAAATACAGATAGAACAATTCAGAGAAAGACATCACAAAGAATACATCCAGGGTTACGGCGGGATTCGAACCCGCTACCTCCACGCTTAACAGAGCGTTTGGACTGGCGATACCTTAAAATTCAATATTA